AAAAACAAAAGGAAAAAACCCAGATGGTTGAAAACTACAAATTTTAAAGTTACGAAACAAAACCTTTACTCATTTTTATATAAAAATATATTTAACCCCCTCCCCCCCCTCCCCCCTCTCCCCCCGATCTCAAAATTTGAGCCCAAGGCTTCGAATAAAAACCCATATCTGGGGGTAAAAACCCCACCATTTGCAGCCCTGGTCCACACTTCCCATCTTTATTAACTCACGTTTAAGCGGTCCCGTTACAGAATTTGATGTTGCCCCGCGAAGACAGTTTCAGCGCGAGAGCCCGCCTGTGTGACAGGGTTTATAGTGCCGCAGGTGTGCAAATTTACGGGTCTTATCAATGTCTCCACAAACGCCGTGGTAAGATAGCGAGGGCGGGAATAATACCACAGATTGTGCACACCTTCCACTGTAAATCCCTGTTGTAAATTGATATCATCATCATTATTATCATCATCGTTGTCATCACATAAATGACCACCATAGTCATCACCATAGTAATTGTTACCACGATCGTCATATCAAAGCTTGGTTAAGGTAGTGCTGCAGAGGTTAATCTCCTTTTCCTCCTCCTCATTAATTTCTTCTTCTTCTTCTTCTTCTTCTTCTTCTTCTTCTTCTTCTTCTTCTTCTTCTTCTTCTTCTTCTTCTTCGTTTGCGCCCATCCGACACTTCCGACGTGTGCAGGCATTTGTTATCTTGGTTACCGTTCAAGTAATCTAACAATCCTGTAGTTAATCAAGTCTTTTAAAAAAAAAGGTAGCAAATTTGAGAGAAGTGAAGAAAAGGGAAAGCAAACAGTTTATGTCAGCTGTATAACACCAATTACAGTGAACAAATAGGGGACATTAAAGGTTACAACATACACATATAAATGCACCAACTCTGAAGTGACTGCACGGGAATATTAAATACACCACTGATTTGATTTGATTAAAAAAACCGACATCACAGCACTCGGGGCATTCCAATAAAGCCCTCGTCCCCATCTTCAGCAGCCAGCAAAGAGTTTTGATAATAATGGTGCCAGTTGCATTCTGATTAAACGTCCATCTTGCCTTTCCTCTGAGCCTCGTGCATCTGCCAGAACCTCTCGCACTCCCAACTGCATCAATCTCACCACACTGTGGTAATTTGTCTGCTCCTCCGACCTGTACAAGCTCTCCCACAAGTCACTAACCACGTTCACGACTGGGACAATGTAATAGTAAACTACAGGTATTTAATACAAATGTATGTGATAGTTATCTAGGCCACTGTCGTATATCTATAATGTAGATCTGTATATAGATAAGTCAGATTACAAAGTACCTGATACCGTAGTCCTTGCTAAAGCAGCCATGCCCAGCATCCACACTCTACTGATGCAGTATCAAATTAGTTGGGCTGGTCATGTGGCACGCATGCCAGATCACAGCCCCCCCCCCCCCCCCCCCCCCCCAAAAAAAAACTTTTCTATGGTGAGCTGCAAAAGGGGAAACGTTCTCAAGGCGGGCAAAAGAAACACTTTAAGGACACCTTGAAGTCTTCACTCAAAGCATTTGGGATGAATGACACCAATTGGGAGGCTGCCTCCCAAGACCGAGATGCATGGCGTGCAGCTCTACACAGGGGCGACACGTGAAGCCAACAGAACAGCAAGACTGATTAAGAAAAGGATGGACAAAAAACCGACTGCAGGAGATTCCCTCCCTGGCACAACGCTCATTCCCTGTCCTCACTGTCCAAGAACTTTTCGGGCCAACATCGGCCTCATCAGTCATCTTCGTGATGAAAAAGAGTGGTCATCATCATCTTGATGGATCAGACACACACACAATGTAGATCAGTGTTTCCCAAACTGTTCTTAGTCGCGGTGCCTTTTTTTTTCAATTAAAACTTTTCCACAGCGCCCTAACCTAAGTAAAAGTAAGACTATTCGTATGTTAAAAAAACACACACACACACAACCCCGTGTATCTTACAATGTTCGCTGCGCACAGTTTGGGAAGCACTGATTTAGATGAATGTCATCATCACCATCATCCTTTATTTTTATCAATATTGCTGTCATGCGCCATCGCAGGTGGCGAAGACATTTAATTATATTTTATGGTGTGCAACTACTTTCTTATTCTTTTTCTGCACTTCTATCCCCTAACGGAGCAAAGGCCCTCAACCAACTCACGCCAAGTTCTATCCTTTGATATTACATGTAGCTCTCCCTATGTCCTCCCTATCTTTCTTTCTAACTTCATTCTCCAGCTCTCTTCTCCATGTTTTTCACCTTCCCTTATTTCTATGCACCTGTGGGTTCCAATGCAAAGACATTCTAGTTATACTGTTATCCGGTTTTCTAAATGTGTGGCCTATCCAACGCCAGCATCTTTTCCTCACCTCTTGGTCCACTGGAGCTTGCCTTGCAACTACTAATCTGTAGTAATTAGGGCTGTACCTAATAGTGATTTTCACTATTCGGCCGAATACGAATAGCTGGACCAACTATTCGGCGGAATACGAATACGAATAGTGAATCATCACCATCATGTGCTTTGCCGGCTGGCATGGGCGATTATGCCTCGCCACAATCTGCGATCTCCTGCAGCACGTATTAGTTCGTGTGCTGACACACCTCCATGAAAAACCTTCGTTCCATGTTGTCAGCATTAGGCCAGCTTTTTGTCTCACTGAAGGTATTTCCAGCTGTACTAAACAGGAAAATACGACAAATACAGAGAGTCAAAATAAAAACCCGCAAGGCGAAACATCAAAAACAAAAATAACGCCGACGAAGAAAACAATGCCGTCCTTACAAGTCGCCCAGCCCCCCGCGAGCTCACGAAACCAGACGCCGGGCGGCCAATGCCAGAAGATCAAACAACAAAGACAATCAAGAAACCGAACGTCGATCAAAACATTCAGCCGCTGCCGTTTCCACGAGACAACGAAAGAACAGATACGACACCCATAAATGATGACGAACTCCCGGTACTTCAAAGAATCAACGAAGAGGACACTCCACTCAAAGAAATCAAGCCGACAACACTGGAACACTTGCTTTTCTGCCCCTCTTACATTTTTAAGTGTTGTATTTTGTTCCTACAGCAACACACCTAAAAACACTATACTCGCAACACATGCAAGATGGAAATAAAGGGGCACTTGGTACACTCGTAGGTGGTGCACAAAGATAACGCTTCACAGTATAAACCAAGGTGGGAAGTCTTGATGTGTTTTTTTCCACCAGTCCAGAAACGGCTGTGAGGTAACCACTATTCGTATTCGGCCCGACCACAACTATTCGGCCGAATACCGAATAGTTATTGGGTCCACTATTCGGCCCTGAAGCGAATGCGAAGCGAATATTCGGTACAGCCCTAGTAGTAATTGCTGCTTCCATCGATGGCGAATTACTGTCTCGTGTCCGACTATTTGAATGAGCTTAGGTTTAAGGTTTAAACAACGGATCAACATCATGGCACAATGGTAGTAACCCATAAGTGCTCCGCTCTACTTTCTAACTCAAGTCTGAGTCCGAAATACTTAGCTCAGTGCACGAACTCTGTAGCTCCGGCGAGGATCCTGAAATACTTTGGGTTGATTTTTTAACACCAAATTTTGCCTGGGCAGCGCCGTTAGGTTACTCTTTTCGATTTCCAATTGCCAGAGATTGACTTTTTTTTTCTTTTTACGTAAGCACCTAAACACACGGGCGCCCGATCTTACTACCCAAAGACTATGAGAATTTATACTAGAAGTCCACGTGAAAAAAAAACCCTAAAAACACCTGAACACGGGCTTTCCTCGGACGCCGTGCCTCGAGACCACGCAGCCCCCTGTTTGCATTCGCACTTCCGAGGGCGGCTTTAAGCATTTGAGTCAGGGGTATGCTGTTAGATATGCTGAGACTGCAGTTTCTGTCCGATTCTTTTTTCATCAAGGGACAGTAATGGACACCCTCTGTGGTCTTTGTTTTTACAGGGACGGAGCATCGATGGGGGTGACCCGTTTGCTATGAAGCCATACTATAACTGTTACTATTACCATGGTGATGATGATAGTGGTCCGACATTGATAGGGAACGGATGAGGGTTGAGAACTTGGCTTATGTTGACCGTTCTCGTCACCGTTTCTCCTCCAGTTTCGATGTTGCAAGATTGAGGAAGTCCGGTTTGCAGTCGGACCTATTGAGTAGTGCTCCTGGCGGCACTATGAGCTGTGATTATCGGGTATTGACTGAGTTACAGATTCGTACATAATGGCAATGATGGGTGATGTATTTTCCTTTGTTGTGTTTCTGGGACAAGGCGTGTGCTAGAGCTGCTATTTATTTTCTGGCTGTGGCTGCAACTTGGTCTAGGACATGTGGAGAATGGCCAGGAATAGTTTTAATCTACTCATCGCCCAGCTTTTCGTCCAATGAAGTTGATTTTCAGCGATGACGCCGGGTCTCGCAGTGTGTTTAAGGAGGCATGCACCTTATGGTTTGCCAGATCAAATCTTGTGTGTGTTTTGCTGACTGAGGACACTTTGTATGGCTACGGCATTCACTTGAAGTATCCAGCGTATCTGACCCAGTTTGTGACTGGAATCACTGGCACAGGCGGTTGAGCAATTATGGACCAATCTTGTTTCCTGTGATGCCGGAACCGTAACGATTAACGACTAACGATTACTATCACAGACAGTTGCTACTTTAACCTCTTATATTGAAAACGATTGCTTCTTTAACCTCTTCTGTTGAAGACATTTGCTACTTTAACTGCTTCTATCACATACAGTCGCTACTTTAACCTTTTGTATTGAAGACAGTTGCTACTTTAACTGTTCTGTTACGGCCAGTTCCTAATTTAACCTCTTCTGTTAAAGACAGTTGCTACTTCAACTGCTCTATCACAGACAGTTCTACTTTAACGTCTTCTACTAAAAAACACTTGCTACGTTAACTGTATTCATCACAGACAGTTGCTGCAGACAGTAGATGATTCTTTGATGATTCTTTCTATTTCCAGACAGCGACGATGGCAAGAAGAGCGACAGTGACAGTAAACGGAAGAGGAAGCAGAGGAGAAACCGGACAACGTTCAACAGCACACAGCTGGCGGCCCTCGAGAGGGTCTTTGAGCGAACTCACTACCCAGACGCCTTTGTGAGAGAGGAGTTGGCTAGGAGAGTCAGTCTCAGCGAGGCTAGAGTACAGGTGAGTGTCTCTCTGTCTGTCTGTTGGAGTGTCCATCTGTCTGTATGTTTGTCTGTTAGTGCTAGCTCATCTATTTATCTGTGTCTGTTTCTTCCCCTTCCTCTCAGACTATGATTTTCATAGAACCATTCATTTTTAAAGTTCGTCACTTCCAGATTTGCAGTCTATAGGAGGGGTCACTTCAGGAAAAAAATATTTTTTTTTTTACTTACAATGTTAGACCAATTATTTTATAATGGTCATTTGTAGGGATGTATGTTGATACATTTGTAGACTTCAAGTTAAAAAAAAAAAAACATGGTTGCCATGGCAACAGCCGCCATCTTGGTGAAAAAACAACATGTACTTAGACAGCTAAAATCTCAAAAACAAACAAAGGTATTGAAAAACAAATAATCGATTCATGAACTTTAAACTTATGTTTAGGGTCAGGTCTAGTTTATTTACTTCAAAAATGTTTTTAAATATTTGTTTAAGAATATCAAAATTTTGGTATGTTGAAAAAATACAAAAATGTAGCTTTTTCATTGAATAATCAAATTTGTTTTTCAAATCACTTAATATACTGTAATTACAAATAAACCTGACCCTATAATATTGTGTAAGGAGTATCCACACCAAATTTCACGTCTCTAGTCCTTATATTAGCTGAGATTTTAGGAGATCCCACACACAACAAACAGAAAAATATAATTGTTAGAAAGTGACTTTTAAACATCTTTTTATCTTAAAAAAGTGCATGGGTTGGTGTCTTTAGTATTAACTTTTCACTGCTAAACTGTTTACCAATGCCACAAATTTTGTGTGTAATCTGTTCTACGAATGCCGAACATTACAAAAATGAACACATTGAAAAAGTGATATTTTTGCCATAAATTGGAAAAAAATGCCGTGTAGTGACACCTTGACATGTCAAGGACGAGAATCAAACAGGCGCAAATCCTAGAAATGCCTTCAGCTATATAGCCATATAAAAAGTAAGTAAAGTAAATGACCCTTTCCGCGCCTTTAGGCGTATAGGGCATATAGGGCTAGACCTATATTTTTTTAGATCAACGGCACAAGACGGGTGATGTGGTCAGCATCACGCCGGCCGCCTCTACTTCCCGGGATTGCACCCGGTACCCACTCAAGGCTGGGACGACCTGGGAGCCAAGGTCATTTTTGAAGAAAAGTCCGTCTCCACCAGGGAGCGAACCCACGACCTTCCGATCCGCGGCGCGCGTCTAGCCGCTCTGCCACGGTAACTCCCCTATATATCCAGTTAGCACAGTTATGATGGAGCAGCACGAAACAGTTCGAAGTCACCTGTTGTTCAGTGGGGGTGGGTCTACGCTGATACAAGGCTCTCTTTTTATTGCCATTTACATCTGAACAATCAGTTTCATACATTGGGGCACGCGTTGGGTAACATGACACACATAACACCGGTCTCCTATACTTCCCAAATTATTTCCTTGTACCCAGTTTAGAACGAACCCTTTGTCAATTATAAGAATCAACATCGAAGCGGATGTCAGACAGAGCCGTTCGACTGGCATGGAAATAACACAGACATGAATTCTTGGGGGTCGTATAGGCATATATATAATATATATATATATATATATATATATATATATATATATATATATATATATATATATATATATATTTATCATCATGTAGCAGGTCCTTTGCAGAACGTCGCTCTCATCAGTCTGCCGGAAAGAAACTCGGTCTCTCGCCAGGTCTCCCGCCTCATGTACTTAAATACTCAAGAAGTCACTTATATCCTGTGCCCATCTTCGTGTCGGTCGGCCCCTGCCCCTCCTTCCTGGCACCATGCCTGTTGCTATAATTTTTTCCAATCCGTCGTGGAACTTGATATGACCAAAATATTTCAGCTTTCGAGAAAGGATGCTATATATATATATATATATATATATATATATATATATATATATATATATATATATATATATATATATATATAAATAAACAGAAAACTCAATGGCTACAGTTACCATGCGTAGAATCGAACCTGTCACCTCTAAATGACGACAATGCCTAGCCTCCAAGAGTACTTAGACGCATGACCAGTTAGGCACCCCTTGAAAAAGCGTCTTCATTAGCCATCTCTTATGTTCAATCTTCTTCATTCCCCTTGTGGGATGTAATTCTTCGATATTTTGAATTAGTAGTAGTATTAGATTTTTACCCCACCATGACATCAGACAAGCATTAAACACCCGATGATACAAAGTGCCACCATGTGGATGAGGATCACCAGGAGAGGTTCCAGAAACCGCGTTCAGCCATTAGACCATATTTATGGTCGGGCTATTTTGCGGCCCCTGGCAAGAGCCAGAGCAGGGCTTCAAATGATAAAAAATTGCATCCTACGAAGGAATGAGTATGTTATTATTTTGAAGTTTCACCCTGGCCGTTGAACGCGGTTTCTGTTACCTCTTCTCGGGTGATCCTTATCCGCATGATGGCAGTTTGTGTCACCGGGTGTTTATCGCTCTTTGTGATGTCCTGGTGGGGTAAAATTTACCTACTTACTAGCAATGTCTATCGTATAGCACTTTAGCTGTTGCCCTGACTACATTTCCGCTCCTCATTTGTGTCGGAGGCTGATGAAGAAATTATCGACCTAAGGGACGTAACTTGGGTGAGCCTATACCTACACAGCCCTTATCGTAGTAGCATCCCTTGACCTCATCTGTGACAATGTTTGGATTTTGGCTATCCTCCGAAATACGGTCCTACATTATCTACGCAAAAAAAAATCCCTAACAGGGCCCCAGTCACGTGTCAATTGCGCAGTTCCGTGGTCTTGAAATGCGATCTTCCCGAGACCTCCGCCGCCGCCGAATTGCGAACTTTCGGCAACCTCCGGCACCGCCAAAAGTACTCACGAGCAGCAGCTACTGCATTTCCTGCAGCTGCCGTCGTTTTATTTACTCGTGAGTCCTAGCCATCTGGTTTAGCCCCGATCCACGCCGTCTGAGCGGCGTGGGGAGTACTCTCGGCGGTGGCGGAAGGTGCCGGAAGTTCGCAATTCGGCGGCACCGGTATGTTCCCCGGAAGTACGCAATTGACACGTGACTGAGGCCTTGTTAGGGATTATTTTCTGCGTAGATAATTTAGGACCGTTATTCGAAGGATAGCCTGGATTTTTATACTGACTACATGGACTGCGGCGTCCGTGGCTTAGGTGTTGCGAGTCCGACTCGTAATTCCAACGTACCGCGATCGAAACTCACTGCTGGCTGCGTGGATTTTTATCATGGCATGGGGCGTCGCAGGTCGACCCAACCTTAAATGGGAATCAGGATGTATGTCCCGGGGTAGTAAAGAGTTGAACTGAGATGAGTTGAGTCAAGAATTGACATCACAGCACTCGGGGGCATTCCCATGCATGCCCCGTCCTCATCTTCAGCAGCCAGCGCAGAGTTCCAATACTGTTGGTACCGGTCACAATCTGGTTATATGTCCGTCTTGCCTTTCCTCTGAGTGTATTGAGCCGGCCAGACCCTCCGGTTCCACCCAGTTGCAGCATTCTTTCCCGGCCATAACAATCTAGTATCTCTATTGATTCCTTTGCTTGTTCCCGAAGGGACTTGACCACATCTGCCTTGTTTTGTCCCTAACTTTCAGGAAGTACATGATTACCACTTTAGTGTATTGCTTGCTGTACTAGAAATGTTAAAAAATCTAATGCACCCGTTCCCACGCATTCAGGCCTGTTGTTAATTAACTCTTTTAGTTCCATGTGAGTTGAAAGCACATGCTCAGTAATCCACCCTTGGAATAGCAGAGTGTTATTTTCAAGCATGCATATCTGTACCACGGCCGGCCCCAGCTGACGGGATATATGCTGCTGACGTCACCAGGTCAGGCTAACAGTGCGCTAACGCAGCGGTTATCAAACAAGAAATACACTTTTTTTCGACCATGGCGAGGAAAGACAACTTGAATTTTAATTTGTAAGCATCTACATGCCTTCTTTAATAATTTAACATAAACTGTTTAGCCGACTTTTCTTGATTATTGCTGCGTCACCTCTGGCATACGCTCACGGCACCCTGGGGTGCCTCGGCACCCAGTTTGAGAACCGCTGCGTTAACACATCGTTAGCCCTAACCGGTGACGTCAGCAGCACAACGCGTCAGATGGAGCCGGTTGTGTCTGTACTAATGTCTGGCCAGATTTTTTTGGTATGTTCCGAGCAAATGTTGAAAAATGAAACAAAATACATTATGCGTTGTCTCGTGTACTGGGCACTACTGAAACTTTGACTGAGCATTATTCGAGACTGTAAGAGGTAATTCAAGGGCTGTAAGAGGTAATTCAAGGGCTGTAAGAGGTAATTCAAGGGCTGTAAGAGGTAATTCAAGGGTTGTAAGAGGTAATTCAAGGTTCCAGTCTCGGTCCAGGGGGATTAGTTTAGGAAATGGCACAGGCTGCTAAGTTGTCACTGTACATGGGTACTAGGCAATGTTGTGGGAAGTCAAGGCAGACGGTGTGATGTCATCGAGTGCCCAGTGGTCTATCGACATTTGGGGCTAGCACTGTATGGTCTCTAAATTCTACACACACACACACACACACACACGGCCACTAACATATATGTACACTTCCCCCACGCGCATTTGTTCACATACAAACTCACACAGACATACAGATACAAATAACACACACATGTGATCTCTTTGCTGGAACATCAAATAGAAAAAGTCGCTGTGTGGGTTACGGATCCCAAGGTGGGGAAATCAAAAATAGACCCACTGCCGGCCCAAATGCATGTCGTAAGAGTCGACTAATTGGGAGCTTCCTTCAAAGTCGGAGTACATCTGCCTGAGGGGCAGGGAACCAAGTCTGCATGTAAATGAGTCAGATCTGTAAAACGGATGTACTCGCAACACTCAGGTTCTGGAACAGGACTGGAGTCCAGAGTGGGTGAACAACCAGAACTTTTCTCCGGAGTTTGCAGCAGTTGAATGCGAGGAAGA